TTAATTGTCTCGACAACCTATCGGGGTAGATACAATTATTACTCATTTTCCTGATAGTTCCACACCTTGCCCAAGGTCATGCAGTAGTGAGTGGTAGAGCCAGAGTTCAGTCTGGGGTAATCCCACTCAGAACTCACCATCTTAACATCTATCTCAAGAGAAATACGTATTGCAGAACCATCCCTACCATGTGTTACAAGCAGGTGTCACCACTCTATAGGGCTTACGTGCTTATTACAAAAAGGGAGTGAAATGCAGATAGAATAGCACACGTTCTCAGAGAATCCTGATGCTGGTGGAAGCTACAATGGAAATAAGAGCCAGAAGCTACAAACAGACCCAGCCATACCAGAAAGGCACAGAGAACAAGTTAATAATGGCCTAAATACAGCGGCATCGCTTCAAATCCAACCTATTATTAATTAATTTATGTATTGCCACCAGGGAGGCGGCAGCTAGTATTAAGTTAGATTAAATTATGGAGAAGCTTCAGCGTTGCTGTGACTATTTCAACAGTAATTATTAAGTTGCTCTGCCTTCCCTCCCTAATAAAAGCCCTTTATTCTCATTCTCAGAATGCTTCACTGTTCACCTGTCGCTAGCGTCTTTTGACAGGCATGACAAGCTTTTCAGAGTAGACTAAAGACACTTTTCAAAGAGAACAAGGAAATCTGATTTGTAAATCCTAGGAGGCTTCCGATCTAAACTCGGATCTCCGAAGAATATTCACCTCCTGTTTCCTCCAAAAAGGGTACTGGGTCTCACTGCTGTGCTGAGTATATACTTGCCAAGACTGACAGGCTCTGAAGGAACAGGGAAGGGAGCACTGGGTGAGCAGTCCGAGGGCCTGGCTCACTCCCAGACTTGCCTCTCAGGCATCTGTGAATTCCCCTTAGTGTGCACATGTAGAGAACAGAAGCACCTACACGACCTACCTCCGGAGCACGCAGCAGCGTGGGCGGGAAGGGAAGCTAAAAGGAGGTAACATACATGAAAGTGGCGTGGAAATGACAAACCTCACAAGTGTGAGCTGATTCATGAACTAGTTTGCCAAACATTGGACTATTATATTTAATATTTAAATGAGTTAACAGATTAATTAGGTTGTGGTAGACCTACCAGGGCAGGGCTGGGTCACTACCCCTTGGCCCAGCTCTGATGACCTCTTGCCCTACTACTCTTGCTTCATACCAGAGATAAATTGCCCAACTGCCTATAGGGACACCTGATCCTAGTTCAGATTCTGCCACTGAACCTGCTTTAGTGAGCTCCTGACTGCCTGGGGACCTGACGGACCATTGTCTGTCTCTGGCATGGCCAAACCTTTCTTCCTAGGAAAAGACCAAAGGAAGCTCCTCACACAGGCTCATTCCTTCCCCCTCTGCACTAGCTAGCGGGCCAGAAAGCCTGTAGTCATTGCTTTTCCTATTGCCCTGCACTCAGTAACTCATTCATTCAATAGACTTACTGAGGACCATGAAGACAACACCTGCCCTCAAGGAGCTCCCATGGCACAGGAGGCCCAGCCCTGGGGACAAGCACAGATATTCGGAGAGTACACTGGGGGATGGGGAGACATAGGTCCCCGCTGTTTCAGGACAAGGAGGCAGAAAGGAAGACCGGGAAAGGTTGAAAGCTTCTAGAAAGGTTGAATGAAGTCACTAAAAGTCCCAGTTGCCCAGAAAACAGGCAGAGAGCAACATGATTGAGGTGTCAAAAGAGAAGAGCCCTCACAGTGAAAAAACACGAGTAGCATATTTTTACTACTGTCTAGGAAACACATGCCTGCCTGGCCCTTGTCCCACACCCCACTGTGGTTCTGATTCAGGTCTGGCTGGGGAGAGAACACACATGCCCTTACGAGGCTCTACAGGTGATTTTAATATCCGGCCCCCAATAAATTCTGTTGGTGCTTGCAATATTTTTCACATCACGGAACAACACAGTACTTGGTATTTATACAACACATTGAATTGAAGTAGAGGTGATTTGGCAACACCTACGTGGGGATTGGTTTAAAAAAAAAACAGCTTTCCTTCTTTACATTTCTACAATAAGAAAAATAAAATGCTAGAAAGGATATTAATCTTTTGCAACCACTAAATTCAAGAAATTTAGAAAGGGAGCCACAATTTGTCCTGTTAGAACTTTTTGAATGGTTGTAGGCAATATTAAATGTTTTAGCAGTTAGAAATTCACAGCCTGAAATTTGTGGGTAAAACCCGTTCATGGCACACAATTTTAGAAAACTCTCAGGTTATGTTGTCACAGCTTTTAACTGGGGGTGGAACAGAAATTCACAGGCTTCAGATATGTCGCCACAGCTCGTATCCTTTTCCAGTGAAATCCCCAGTCAAACGTTAAACAGAAAGTCGATCTAGGCACAGTTCAGAGGCATGTGACTTCGAGAAAATTAAGTTCACAAACAAGATGAACAAGCAGCTCCCACATAGGAAGCCTGACACCCAGAGGAGAAGGTTTCGGAAAGGATCTTTTAAAGGCTCAGCTTTCTGAGCTCTAGAGGTGGAGCCAGAGAACCTGCCCGATGTTCTGTAGGTATACATGGTGGAATGCCAGAAAATTCCTGTAAGGTGTTGGTCAGAGGCCAACACCACGCACACCAGGCCAGTTTCCTCAGTAAAAGGCTGTATTTAGAGTAACATCAAGTGAACTCCAACAAGACTCTCCATTCAACTGTTAAGTTATAGTATCTACAGACCCAAGATCAAACCAGGCATTTTCTATGCAGCACGCCTTCAACTACAAGGCATAGGCCAAACTAATAATACATTTTTATTTGTATTCTTATGTATTTTTTAAAACATATTTTTATTGATTTCAGAGTGGAAGGGAGAGGGAGAGAGAGAGACATCAATGATGAGAGAGAATAATTGACTGGCTGCCTTCTGCATGCCCCACACTGGGGATGGAGTCCACAATCTGGGCATGTGACCTGACCAAGAATCGAACCATGACCTCCTGGTTTATAGGTCAAACACTCAACCACTCAGCCAAGCTGGCTGAGCAATAATACATTTTTTTAAAGTCCTGATTTTTGCATGTGGCCACATAAAGTAAGTTCAGCAGTTATTATGAACTCACCCGCAGAAAGATAACACAAGTTCCAATGTTGAGTACCTGACAGATACGTTAAATATCCATAGTTCTCTTTATCTATGGCTTTCCAACTTTTGACCACAGCCTGAACTAAGAAACAATTTTTAACATTTCAACTAGTATACCTACACATGGAAAACTGAAAAAAAAAAAAATTCAAACACTCTTTTCTAATTTCTTTCATTTTAAAAATAAGACAAAAATTATACCAGTCATGATATACAAGCTATTACTGAGTTTACAGTTAGAGAGAATACCACAGTCAGAAAAATATTAGTTAGGTACATTATAGTATATATGCACAGTGAAATAGGATGTAGCCATTAAAAGAATGAGGCAGATGTACCATTCATATGAATGATGTCCAAGGTAGATTATTAAATGAAATAAAACTAATTTAAAAATGGTTGGGTTCGCTTCTGAAGGATGCTCCAACATGTTTTCCCTCTTCTTTGTCAACAGGATATGAAAAAAATCACACAGAAAGAGAATTTCTCAAATGGCCATAAAATTATGTGGGGAGCTTGGTGAAATTCCTGGGCGCCATCGCTGGGGATTCTGCAGTGACAGACACTAGACCACAGCTACCACCTGTGTAGAAATACTTCCTGGCCAGAGGCCTGGCAGTGTGAGCCGGTGAGGCTCCTGACAGAGCCCCACTTAGGAGGAAGACCGCAGGGAGCCCAGACTCCCAGGGTCAGAAATGAGTCCTATGGGCAGTGGAGGAGGTGCCTCAAGTACTCCTGAGGGAGTACATGAGACCTTTCTACTGTGGGCATCCTTCCTTCTGTTTCTCCCCCACACATCCCTATTTTTAGCTCTGAGCATGGACTAAGAGGCCAAGTACAGAAGGAAGTCCTGGTGTTGAAATGAAGTTTCTCCCTGTGTTTGCCCCTCAGAGCCAGAGTACGTCTCAGGAGGCCACCCAGGGCCCTGCTCGCTCGAGAGCCCTTATTCAAAAGAAATGGCTCTTCTGCAGTGTGGCTGGCAGAGAGCAGGTTGGATTTCAGCACCCGACCCCCTCCCACTCACGTATATGCAGTGAACAGCCTGCATGACTGTATCACAGTGGTTCTTAACCTTCCTAATGCCGCGACCCTTTAATACAGTTCCTCATGTTGTGGTGACCCCCAACCATAAAATTATTTTCGTTGCTACTTCGTAACTGTAATTTTGCTACTGTTATGAATCGTAATGTAAACATCTGATATGCAGGATGTATTTTCATTGTTACAAATTGAACATAAGTAAAGCGTAGTGATTAATCACCAAAACAATATGTAATTATATATGTGTTGTCCGATGGTCTTAGGCGACCCCTGTGAAAGGGTCGTTCGACCCCCAAAGGGGTGGCGACCCACAGGTTGGCAACCCACAGACTGAGAACCGCTGCTGTATCAGATGTAACCCAATTCACTGCGGTGGTCAACCCTGGCCCTGGTCTTACTCCGTTCAGGAATAAAAATTACAGGCACCGTGTGGGAGTAGAAAAAGCACCATGTTGGGAGTCAGGAGAGCTTTCCATCCCAGTCCGGCTGTGTGACTGGGACATAGGCACTGGGCCATGGCCCGCATTCTCCTGAGAGACAGAATGAAGGGCTTTCCCTGACCCTCAGTCCAGCCCAGTGATGGCGAACCTATGACACACATGTCAGAGGTGACACGCGAACTCATATTTTGGTTGATTTTTCTTTGTTAAATGGCATTTAAATATATAAAATAAATCTCAAAAATATAAATCTTTGTTTTACTATGGTTGCAAATATCAAAAAATTTCTATATGTGACACAGCACCAGAGTTAAGTTAGGGTTTTTTAATATGCTGACACGCCGAGCTCAAAAGGTCCGCCATCACTGGTCCAGCCCTTGGGGTCTTGCCTCACCTTCTACAACTCCATGTTTCCTTCTCCACATCCCGGCTTGACTGAAACACGGCTACTGGCACAGGCCACCAGGCTGTGCTGTGTGGCTGCTGGCCTTTGTGGAGAGCTGTTCCCTGCTTGGAAAGCCCCTCCTGACACGAGTACATTTCACTCACTGGTCCATATTCTTCAAGGTCCAGCTCCAGCTCTGTTTCTCTGGGTAAGCCTTCCCTGGCTTCCTCAGGTACGGTCCTCACCACTGCACCTTGAATAGACACTCCTCCTCAGAGCAGGTGTTCCACTGAATTGGGGTTCTCAGCTGGAGTGTCTGTCTCCCCATCACAGGCAGGGACCACATCCTTTGGAGACAATGTTCCACTGACCACACAGTGTTAGGTGCACAGACACGGCATGTACTGTAGGAACGAATCAATGGCAAGACTGTTTCTTCTACCCTCTGTGGAAGTTATTGAATGTGTCCCCGTGTATCAAGGAGAGGAAACATTACCTGTACCTATGTCCAGTCTTTGGAAGCACAGACAGATCCTTTTAAGTTAAGAGAAAATGATATTATACATAAGAGGCCTCTATGGTGTATTTTCATCAATGCAGCCCTTTAAAAACATAAGCCAGGTCTTGTTTCATTATTTTATTATCTGTCTTTCCTCCTAAAATGTAAGCTCCAGAAGGGCAGTCAATTGCATTCATTGCTGAGTCCCCATCACCTAAAGCAGTGTCTGGAACCTAGATGATGCTCTGTAAAAAAAGAAAAAGATGTTGAATGAAGGAATGGAGTAATAAATGAACTCATGAAGATGAAAGGTGCTTGTGTGTGGGGGGGGAGGGGGGGGGACGTGAAAAGAAGGGAAAGAATTTGAATCAGATTCTGCACTGCTAAGCATGTTTACAAATTGCTTTATAATCACTAATTAGCTTTTCTAAACCACATCCCCTGAGTAGGCAGGCCTATCCTCCCAATTTTAAGATAAGGGAATTCAAACCCAAGGTCACACAGCAAATCAACTTCCCCTTCAATGCTGAGTTTTGAGCTGGTAATAAGAGTGAGATTAAAGATACTGATGATTTGTAAAAGGTTGAAATATTAGAGGAAATAAAAGAGTTCAGGGCATGGGACCAAGAAAGCTTTGCATATATTCTCAGCACACTGCACGAAAGAAAAGCAGACTGCTCTGTCCGGAACCATACGTACACTATTCGTACAACACTATTCGGTCATCAGTTTCCACAGTCCTGAGAGGCAGACATTTGCAAGAAACAATGGGAGCTGCAGTTTAGCTCCAGCGTCTCAGGCCCAGCTGCCAATCAGCAGTGACACCACTTTGTCACACGGAGGCTGGGCTCATGCAACACCAGGGCCTGCACAGGCGCTTTACAGGGAGAATGCAGGGGGAAGAGAGAGGAGAAGACTAAAACACCAACTAAAAAAAGAAAGAGTTCATCAAATAAACAATAGGCTGACATCAAAAATAAAAATATATACAATCATAGTTTAATCACTGTATAATCTTCTAGCAGCAAAAATGCTCACGCATATTACAAATGAGACTCTAAATTATACTTCTCCCCCCGCCCCCCCACCCCAAAATAAAGGAAATGGACAGATGAAAGAAAGAGTCCTAATCATTCCATTTCAGTTTTTTTTTTAAAAATACATTTCATTGATTTTTTACAGAGAGGAAGGGTGAGGGAAAGAAAGCTAGAAACATCGATGAGAGAGAAACATCGATTAGCTGCCTCCTGCACAACCCCCACTGGGGATGTGCCTGCAACCAAGGTACATGTCCCTGACCGGAATCGAACCCGGGGCCCTTCAGTCTGCAGGCCGATGCTCTATCCACTGAGCCAAACCGGTCAGGGCAGTTTTTTGTTTTAATCAAAATGAAATTTGCTGAAACCTGGCTGGATGGTTCAGTTGGTTCGAGTGTTATCCTGTACACCAAAAGGTTTGATTCCCAGTCGCAGCACACACCTAGGCTGCAGGTTCAATCTCTGGCCAGGGCATGCGTGGGAGGCAACCAATTGATGTCTTTCTCTCACATTGATGTTCCCCCCCTGCTTCCTCTCTCTAAAAAATCAATAAAGCATATCCTAGAATGAGGATTTAAAAAAATTAAATTTGTTGAAAAATCATAGCTGGTTTCCCAGCATTATTAATAAGTCCAAGAAGGGAAGAGTACAATGTACATTTTGACTCAAATTAGAAATTAATTTTGGTTGGTCTTTTTCAATTTACTTTTTAAAACATATTTTTTATTGATTTTTGAGAGAGAGAAAGGGAGAGGGAGAGAGCGAGAGAGAAACATCAATGTGAGAGAGAAACATTGATCCACCCAAACCTGGGCTGGGGACCAAACCTACAACCTCTTGGTACACAGGAGCATGCTCAATCAACTGAGCCACACTGGCCAGGGCTCAATTTACTTTTTATGTAGTTGGAGAAATGAGATCAATCTCGCTTCTGTTTTAACAATTAGTTTCCACTAAAACATAAAAATACATTTGACACTGGGAGAAGGAAAGAGGTCACAGACTGCTGAACAGGGAATGGAGGAACAAAGAACATTCGGAAACAAGGAAGCCCATCCTCAACAGTCCTTCAAGACTGATCCACATTTCACCAAGTGGAAGGGCCGAGCACAAGGTAACTAAAATGTCCAGGGCATTGGCAGGGCTGGAGGCAAGGCCAAAGTGTGAGATCTCTGCTTCTCTGGGTCCTGAGGGTATGACTCTAGGGCAGGGGTGGGCAAACTTTTTGACTCGAGCGCCACAATGGGTTCTTAAACTGGACCGGAGGGCCGGAACAAAAGCATGGATGGAGTGTTTGTGTGAACTAATATAAATTCAAAGTAAACATCATTACATAAAAGGGTACGGTCTTTTTTTTTTTTAGTTTTATTCATTTCAAACGGGCCGGATCTGGCCTGCGGGGCGTAGTTTGCCCACGGCTGCTCTAAGGGAGGTGCTCTAAGGGGTCATGCCTCCCAAAATACTGGAAGCAAATAGGAAATCATATTGAAATGGAGACAAGGAAAACCCAAAGCTGGGGATAAATTATAACCCGACCCTGTGGCTTAATCACTCACTCAAACTGCAGCCCATATAATGTCAGATGAGGCGTTCCTAAACATTTAGCATGATAGCATCTTCTTGACATCCAACAAAACTGAAAATGGTTTGTTACTAATTCATCTTCAAAGGTGCATGAAAAGCGATCTGACGCTTTCACCATATTAACTTTTAAAAACAGCTTTACAGAGATTGAGTTTATATAAAATCCACCTATTTTTAAGTGTGCAGTTTGATGAGTTTGGGCAAATATATACACTTGTGTGACCATGATAGCAATAAATAAATAAAAAAGAGAATATTTGCATCACTCCCCAAAAGTTCCCTGGTGCCTCTTTGTAGTCAAGCACCTTTCTCCATCCCAGGCCTTGGGCAACCAGATCTGTTGCTATGGTTTTGCCTTTTCTAGAATTTCACGTAAACAGAATCATCCAGTGTGCAGCCTTGTGCCCGGTTTCTTTCACTTAGCACGCAGTTTTGAGGCTCATGCATGCTGCCGTGTGGGTCAGGAGTCCCACACGTTTTTATTGCTGAGTAGTATTCCGTTTCTTCATGTCACTTCCACATGCTTCCTAGAAGCCCTACCGTAATCCCTATGCTAACATCCTAAATGTTATTTCTCTACATTCCTTGATTTTGTCCTCTGAAGAAATGTCAATATGGCTTTGGTCACATGGCCAGTACAAAAAACACCTCCTGTCAGGAGGGTCACAATCATCAAGCCAACAAAAACTGAAGCACACAGTTGGAAATAACTAGCCATGCTGAGGAAAAGAAGGCCAAAGGTGAGAAGCCGACATCCCGACGAAATCTCCTGACTGTAAAACGCTGAGTTATAGGGAGAGCCACTTCCTCACTGATCAGCTGATCAGCATTTCTACATGTTGGGAACAATGACACACCTGACCATTGTGAGGGGTACATGAGACACCCGCCTGGCTTGTGAAGTTTCAGGGTATTTAGGTATTTCACATGATTGGATTTTTGGATAACTGAAATTTATCTTAAGTGCCGTTAATTATAAGTAAGTACTGAAAGGGTACTAATTCCATGCCTTATTAAACAGTCTACTGAACATAATGAGCTGTTTACTAGATGCACAATCAGCATTATAAATAGTCCGATGGCGCTAAGCTCTTGAACAGAGAGGTCCTCAGGGGTTACCAGACTTGGGTCTTCCTATTCTAAGTGGCCCCAAAGTACTGTTATTTTAAGTGGAACTTTCCATCTTCTTCCTATGGTAACTGGCAACCTTGACACTGTTGCTATGTCCTTGCTACTAACCTGCTACTAGTTTCCCTTTAAAAATAATCATAAAATATCTCCATGATACAGAAAAGTCTTAGAAAATAAGTATCTCCCCTCAGACTTTGAAACTGTTCACAACTGATGTATTTGTTTCAGAACAATTTTCAATACAGTAAAAAAAAAATAGCTTTTTTGGTGAATTTCGCCCCCCCCCTTTTTTTTTTTTTGCTGTGCAGCTGAGTTTGCCCAAATATTTGTGAGCATACATATACTCTGGAATGTCACTTTTATGACATTTTGTTCAATGTGTTTTTTAGGCTGCTACATAAGCACCATTGTTTTAGATGCTGATTAGAAGAGCAAGTGAATGTACCAGTTATCGAACCCATCCCATGTCATCATTACTCAAGTAGGATATTTCTGATTCCTTGCTACTGTGCATGGACTTCAGAGAACATTTTACTCATATAGTCTAACTTCCCGACGTTTAACCTACTCAGAAAGCATATGTGAGCATTATCTGGCTTGAAAGTGACTCTGTGGTATCATCAGAATGAGGTGTAAGGAACTGTTTTACTCATCCATCCATTTCTCCATCCATTCATTCAAAACACACTTACCAAATTCCTACTTGGCACTAGAGACCTTTTATTAGTAAAAAAGTTAGAAAGAGTAAGACATGGTTCCTGCCCCCCATAAGCTCACACACTAGCCAAGGAGACTTGAAACATCAGAGAGCGGCACAAAGGAGCAGGGCGAGTCGTGAATTTGCTACGCCACATTGCGCAGCCGATGCCTGCAACTCAGCCTGTGGGAGGCAGGGAGTTTAAAGACAAGTAAGGCTGCCCGTCCACTGATACTGGTTCTATGTACTATTCTGTTCTGATATTAACAAAGAGATGGTATCCAACTTTTCCCCCCTAATCCAAAGGCAAGCATAGCAAAACGATAACTTTCTCTCTCTTGGTACCAAGCACTCTCACTGTCATTTTCGGTGAAGGAAACAAGACCTTTCTCATAACAGCAGAGAGCAGTCACAGGGCTGGGCTGTTGCCTGTGAACGCCGCCTCGCAGGCAGCCCAAGCTCTCCTATTTTAGCAATCTGCACCGATGACAGCCCCCTTCTTGCCCTGTCAAAAAATGCATAACAATCCTCCTTTTTTTCTTAATGCCTATCAGACTGGAAACAGGGCCGAAGAGGTGTGTCGCCAGTGTCAGGAAAGATGTACACAGAAAAAAGAAAGAGCAGCAGTTCATGCCTGAAGGTCAGACGTGAACAGGCAGGCTCAAAGGTCCCCACCCTAACCCCGGTCTCTCAGAAATGTGGGGCCTGTCCTTGTGAGCTGCTGCCAGACCTTCTGGGCACGCCTCCTTCCCTGGTGGCGTTCTCAGCAAGAGACAGGGAAACTAATCTAGAGTGGAATAGGAAGCAATGGAAAAGCCCGAGAACATGGGTTCAAACAAATTCCCACACAACTACCCATTTTTTTCCATTTGAATCAGCGGGGAAGGAAACAAATTCACTTCTCTTTAAACCTGGGAACTGTCTCAAATAAACGTATCAGCAGAAACATCTGATATGGCAATGAGCTGAATAATTACTAGGTAATTCACGTGTTCTTAGCAGTCATTTTTTTTTAATGTTTTTGATTTTAGAGAGAGAGGAAGGGAGAAGGGAGAGAGAGAAACATCAGTGGGAGAGAGCAACACTGATGAGCTGCCTCACTCACACTCCCCACCAGGGATGGAGCCTGCAACCCCAGCATGAGCCCTGAACGGGATCGAACCAGCTACCTTGAGGTGCACAGATGGACACTCAACCAACTGAACCACAGCAGCCAGGGCAGCACTCATTTCGTTTTCTTTGCAATGTCAATGCTCTTATTCTAGTCTCTTCCCCACATGCCCCTAACCCAGGGGTGGGCAAACTTTTTGACTCGAGGGCCACAATGGGTTCTTAAACTGGACCGGAGGGCCAGAACAAAAGCATGGATGGAGTGTTTGTGTGAACTAATATAAATTCAAAGTAAACATCATTACATAAAAGGGTACGGTCTTTTTTTTCAATAGTTTTATTCATTTCAAACGGGCCGGATCCGGCCTGTGGGCCGTAGTTTGCCCACAGCTGCCCTAACCCCAACCCCCATGAAATGAACACACTGTTTGTAAAAGTCTTACACTGTTGACTGGGAAAAGCACCTTCCTCAGCAGGAACCTCGGCAGGAACACCCGAGGACACAGATGCCCTCGTGGTCACAAGAGATGGTGCCCTGGACCGGTGTACCTTCCTCTGTGCCCTTCCCAAGAGCATCGTCAGCCTCAAGGAGCTTCTAGACTCTCCGTCAGGGAATGGAGTACACGAAGGGAACTGATCATTCTACTTGGAGAGGCCTGTCCAGAAAGCTTAGAGGGCGGTGCTCCAGGGGACCCTGACAGAAGTGCCATCCTGTCCAAGGGTGGTGATGAGCATGGGGAAGTTAGCAAGGAAAGCAAAGATATGGAAGGGACAGTCGCGGAAATGCCAAGAATTGGGCACAGCTGGCCTTCAAAAGAGTTGCTCACCGACTTGGATTTCACAAAGCAGGAGTTTAAAAAACAAGTAATGTCCAAAGACGGACCCAGAAAAGGAATGATTCTCTATTATCATCTTCATTTCATAAAAGAAACAGCAGTTTAGCTGACCAAGGGCATTGTCTCAGAATAAAGGACACAAATGACAGGGTGTCTCTGTAATTTTCCTCATTTTGCCGCAGACCAATGGCAACGATGTCATGAGCTGGCGCAGGTCTGCACTTTGGGGCCGGGTCTCCACAGAGCTCAAGACAGGTGTTCCCTCTCCAAAGAGGCGAGCAGCTCTCTCCTGCTTCACGCTGGTGAGAGATTCGGAAGCACTCAGGTTGGTCCGAAAGGAGGCCAGTGTGGCTGCAAAGTGCATGCGCTTCATTTGCCACAGGCTGCCCGGCCTCTAGGCCCCTGCCGTGGCCTGACAGTGACTCTTTCCAGTGATTTCAGTGTCTCTAGGCTGAATATAAACTCATAAACTATTTTAAATTACTATGCATGGATTCAATAGAAGGAGCTGTTACAAATTTCATGTACAAGGAATTTCTACTACAAGTAAAAAATGTTTAAGTTATAGGTTAACAAAAATATGATATTAATTATACAGAATAATGTAATAAATTGTGTAAACAAAGAGAAACTATATCCAAATGTTAACAGTAACAGGCCTGGGAGGGGGGATTATAATGTGCTTTATGTTTTATGTCTTCTAAATTTTCTACAATTTATGTTTGTATTTTTCGATATCTTCATTTTCTACAATACTTTAAAAAACAGGATAAAATGTATTTGCCTTTAGAATTTTGAGGGTGAAAACTGAATTTTTAAGAAACATAAGTTGAAATTGTTATAAATTGCCACAATGCAGCAAAGGTTCACAATAATACTCTTTACTAGTAAAAAACAAACAAAAAAAGAACCACAACTCATGTGGGCATTTACTTACTAATCATTTTTCTTTCTGCTTTAGGATATCAGGCACATTATCATTATACCTACAGATTCCCCCCCAAACAAATCAGCAGGTTCTCATCTTTATGCGGTTTCATCTGACAGGATGAAGTGAGTTTCAATTTGACTAATTATTTCATCACATAGAGGTGAGATCCAGCCAGAGCTGTTGATTAAGCAGATGATCTCTTATACTTAAAAAAAAAAAAAAAAGGCTACAGAGATCAGCTCCTGATGGGTTTAAAAGGAAATGAATTAGATTCATAACACGCTGTCAAACCTCCTCTGTATAGTACTTTCCCAGAGTTAACCACATCACTTCAACAATTTACTACAATTCATCCAGATACTTTAAAAGTTCTACATTTAGTATAAAGTCCTAAAGTATGAACTGAAAAAAGTGGCTTGATTTACTTCTCATGAAACTTTGCATCTAGTTCCTGGTCTGAGTAAGCTGCCCTCTGACCCACTGACACCCCACCCACCAGTGACTCCAATATGCTCACCCCCATTAGCACATCCCTTTTCTCCAAGCTTTATTGCATTTCCTCCAATTCTTACTAAATGCTTACTCTATGCAAGACACTATTAGTGTCTTCTATCTCCCATCGACTCAGACGAAGGGGAGAAAAACATCAGAGGCTACATAGGTAAAAATAAATCTTGCTTTAGTCTTCCTTTGCAAAAGAGAAAGATAAAAACTCTGACTCAGGAAATATAAGAATAATGGAGTAAATGTGGCAAATTAATAAAGAAAAACAGATGAGGCAGCAATGATTGAAGAAAGGGTTACAGATACAGGAAAACGAGGAAGGTAGAAAGTGTGAAAAGTGGAGACAGTGAGAAAAATGACAGAGTGAGAAAGCCCAGAAATGATACACAGATAAAATACGGCTATACAAAGATTACTGTTAAGACTAAATGTTTTTTGCCCTAGTTCTGTGGTTGGCAAACTGCGGCTCGCGAGCCACATGCGGCACTTTGGCCCCTTGAGTGTGGCTCTTACTTACTAAGCCTTAGGAGTACCCTAATTAAGTTAATAACAATGCACCTTCCTATATAGTTTAAATTTAAAAAATTTGGCTCTCAAAAGAAATTTCAATCGTTGTACTGTTGATATTTGGCTCTGTTGACTAATGAGTTTGCCGACCACTGCCCTAGTTGGTTTGGCTCAGCAGATAGTGTGTTGGCCCACGGACTGAAGGGTCCTGGGTTCGATTCCAGTCAAAGACATGTACCTTGGCTGCATACTCCATCCCTGTCCCCAGTGGGGCTCTGTACAGGAGGCAGCCAATCGATGTGCCTCTCTCCCAGAGATGGTTTCTCTCTCTCTCTCTCTCTCTCTCTCTCTCTCTCTCTCTCTCTCTCTCCCCCCCCCCCCCCCCCCGCCCTCCCTTCCACTCTCTCTAAAAATCAATGGAAAAATACCCTCGGGTGAGGATTAACAAAACAACAACAAAAAAGACTAAATGTTTTTTAAATCTGTGTTGCATTTTCACAAGTACAGAGAAGTATTATGTAGTTTCTTAGTTTTTAAAATTTATAAATCATATAAAAGGTTTAGGAGCTATTTGGCTAATTTCCAACTTCAAGAGGCCAATTTCCAGTTTATGACAATTTTGCCTTTGAAGCAAAGATGGAGAAAAATGCTTCGGCTGAGAACAGTCTGGGATTGCCTCCAACCAAACTGTACAGCCCAGGATTGCCAGGCCAACCGCACACCCACCCCTGCAACATAAATAATAGAAGAAAAACCAACCTACTGGGCAAGGGTCAGCTCCCCTTCTCCTGCACTTCCCTCTGCCATATGCGCCCACTCCCACCAAGCACTAGTCCATGGAAGCCAATGCAACCTGCTCTTCCCACAGCCCCGTGCCTCTGCATGCAGTCACTCACGTGGAAATGTTGGCCCTTCTCATGTCATTCCTCCTTCTAGACCCTGCTCAGAGGCTGTCCGTGCTGCAAACCTAACACCGTTGCCCTAGGAGCAGTGTGGAGCCACCAGTAACCCCCAAAGTGAGACCGTGTATGCTCACCTTGGAGCTCACAGTTCCCAACACTGCATCAGCCCGGGAGTGGCGCCTAGAAAATGGGTTGATCAAATAAAATTAATTAAATGAAAATGTCTGGCTCTTTTGCAAACAAATTAAATTTAGATTAAAAACATGACTTTTATACTAAAAAAAAATGGTAACAATGTTTTTCACAAAATGTCTTTTCCTAAAGTCTACATTCAGATCATGATTGTTTTTTTTTTTAAAGAGATGACTAACTTTTCTATTGGGGAAATTTTCATTATTAATATCCTGAGGGATTGTTCAATTCTAGATGGAGATACCAGGAAATTCTACCTGAGGCAAACTGGCCCACTGCGATCTCCATTCTGAACCCACATTAACCCTTTTCGGTCCAACATCGAGGCTGACTCGAAAGACCAGTTTCAAAAGATACCACACTATGAAATGTTTTAAAGAGTGAACTCTTGGATTGAACATACTTAATAATATAACCAGTGAATTTTTGGTTTAAACTTTAAAATGAGAACATTAAAAAGTTCAACATTCAATCCCGTCAATTAATTTGGACAAGACTGTTTGAATTCCAAAAATAAAGTTGGACCACAAAGGGTTAAACCATCTATTCCCTCTTCCTTGACAGGCCCCATAACTGGAACTGTGTTCTCTTCACCAAGCTCCGCATTACCAGTCTCTCATCTCATCTCATTCAAGGCTTCCAGAGACGTCCTTTTCTGAAGCCCTGGTCTGTAGGCCTATTTCACTAAATGTGACAACCAGAACTGATGTGGTCCAGCAATGACCATGATGGGGCCACCACTCACCATAGCCAGGATGTGATACCCCTGTTAAGGACACTTTGGAGGCCTGCAACACCTTTGTGAGGACCCAAAAGCCCAGAACTATTTTGCATACTATATGTCCTCTCCTGCCCCCACTTGCCTTCTCTCCATGTTCCCCTGCAACAATCATCATGAAAATCTAAAAGAAATGCCCATAAAAACTTCTCTAGGAAGAATCCAGGGAGAACACCGGGAAGTGCCTGGGTCCTTCCACAGTGGGACGGAGGAAATGAGTGGCAGCCCTTAAAACAGGCTTTCTAAGGGCTTGGGGACTGGTATCCTGCCTGACCTCCCACCCCCAAGAGGATAACTGGCCTGTATAGGGAGAAGCTGCAAAGCACAGATGAGCTTTTGCTACAATCCCACAAATTGATCCCATAATCAGAGCCATCCAACAATAGAAGGGAGCCCAATGGACCTGAAAGGAGATGATGTGCCCTTAATTATTACAATGGTCAAGAGTGGCAGAGCCATTTGTCAGGATTCCTATGGAAGAAATGTCGCATGGGGTTGCTGGATGGGTTTGAGACCTCTAATGACCCTTCTAGTACTTAAGATTCTACACTTATACAGGCCCTTCAAGATCCCTGGGCATCCTTAATCTCATTTCTAGTGCCCTGGCGTAAGGGCAGGACTCAAACATTCACTCAGCAATAAACCAACTAACCAAACCACATTTACTGAGCATCTCCCGATGCCTGCCACTGCCTATACATACAGGTGTAAAATAAATTCCATTCACATTCCCTACCCAACTGCACCCTTTAACATTTTGCTTATACCTTACTAATCTATCGCTAAGCAACTTGAGGATCTTGATTACCATTAATATGAAGCCACTACCTATCATTTATTAATTATAATTCCTCAGTTTCAAAATTTCTGTAACATCAATGACCACAAATATCAATTTCTTACTAAGGTGAAGCCTACATACTAAAATAAAAAATGGGTTCCTATGATAGAAAAAATGGTCTTTTCTCCTCAAAGAAGATTATAGTCAAAACAGACAAAACACACAAGAAAGGGCAAGAACACAAACATTAACAAAGAAAAAGCATAGAAGCAGATACTGTAATCTGTTTGCAACTGCTATTTGCCCTTGTTCACTAAAACCAAAAAAAATAAAATTGGCCTGTGGTTTACTAAATTCAGTTTCCAGTGCTTTTCTCACCAAACCACTCTGCAATCCCATCAATCTCTAATAAAAATGATTGGGAGAGGGAGGGAAGAGAGGCCGCAGTAAAAATATACTGTATATTTTCTGGACTGGATGATGAAACAGAAGGTTTCACTTCTTGTTTCAACTATTCTAGCACCTTCTCATTTTACTCAATTTCAGGCCCATTAAAGGGCCTGGGCAGTTGGACAGAATATGAAGAGAACTCATTTTGAGAGAAGATTAAAACCCACACCAGTCATAAACTGTCTTCAGTTACTGTACACATCAGTCAAACCAAACCATCCACTCGGGGTGTAGGGCATTCTGCAGAGCTCTGGAATAATACCTCCCTCTTCTGATGGAGGTTCAAGTGCACTAATTACCGAATGTGCTGCCTCGGTCACAGGGTCTTCATTCTCCCCTTATAAAGAGTGTTTTAGTTTTGAGGCAAGAGGAGAAATTCAGATGGGAAATGAGTAATTTGGGAACCTCTTACAGCTCTCTGGCCTGCAGTAAGTAATCCTTTCTTCCCCTTTCAAAGTCCATCAGCAAAGGTATTGAACACAGAAAGCAGGGCCTGGTGGCTCGTGGCCCTGCAGCGAGAAGAGCCTCCACCCAATTCTGAATTGTCACACTCAGGAACAGCCCCTGCAAAGGAGACCCAGGGAAACAACGGAGTCAGGTCGTGAGAGCCCAGAATGTGTGCGTATGGGTGTGCGCTGGTGTGTGCAACTACAGAAGGAGAAACACAAACACCACTTTTGGAGGATGTGCTGTAGGGCAGTAGAGTATGGTTTCTGAATCCGGGTTCAAATTCTCACCTGGCCTCCTACTGGGTAGGCCTCATGCACATGAACCTTGCAATGTTTCAGCTTTTTGATCTGTAAGGTGATCAGGAGGTCATACAGGCTAACACAGGTATTGTCTGAACTGCACTACCTCATATAGACAGATCTACCTTTGACAGACACAGTATTCATTCGACCCAAATTGCCACTCCCTCCAGCAAACCTGTGTTTTGTGGCTGCCAAGAACTGTGCAACAATATACTTACATACCAAGTCACCTAAATCGTTCTGCTGGAGCCATCGCTCCTTAACCGAGTCCTTGCTTGTGAAAGGTTCTCTTGGCCCTGTTTACGTTGGACCAGCATCAAGCGTCTGTTTTCCTCCGCATCTGAAAGTCACTGGGTCAAGGCTCTCAAGGCCCCTTTTCACACAGAGGAACCAGTCAAGGGCTGAAAACGCTCTGTGTGGTGGTGGTGCTGGTGGTCGCCTGGCCAATTTCGTGGGGAGTCACTCTGTGGCTTTGGCAGAGTCTGCCACTGTCTGCTGGAATAAATCCGGAGCCAAAATATGATTTGTCTAATTTGACTTGTGTACATTTTCTGAGTACAAGAGAGTATTGATAAGGAATCTAGGTAAGAGGAGAAAATGTTTGTTGATGGCTCTGAAAGCACAAAACGTTCATTCAGTGAAGGGGGCCGTGCCCTCATTATAATTATGTATTAAGATTACATCTTCTACACCAGTGTGCTGCAGAATTGCCTGGGAGCTTGTCAAAAAACAAATTGCTGGTCCCACCCCCATAGTTTGTGATTTAGTAGGTCTGAGGCAAGAGGACGCGGTGTTGAGAATTTGCATTTCTAATACAGTCCTGGTAGATCCTGATGCTGCTGGGCTGGGAACCACACTTTGAGAACCACTGCTCTATAAACAGGAGTAGTTCCTTAGCAGTAAGAAGGTTCGGGTCAGGTCATAGGACACAGCACACTAGCAAGAAAAGAAGGGGTGATCATTTTCACTTTATGTTTATTGAATGAATGCATGAGTCAACAAGCAGATGAGTAAGCCTGCCTCCATCAACACCACATTCCCCATGTTTGTTTATATTGGAACTATTGAGCACTATACATAAATCAAGATGGCCTGCAATGTCCTTCAACCAATGATAGATTTTAAAAGAAAAAGACTATAACACACACACACATACACACACACTACGTGATAGTCTGCTAAACGTACCCCAACATCTATACTCTCCTTCCTCTTAATAATAGAAGCCTCACAGTTTTAGCTGAGCTAACGATTGCCCATTTGCAAACTATATTTCTCCACCTTCCTGCAGCTATCTGTGCCCAATAACAGGTCCTTCTTTCCATAGGCTGAAGAGCAGATGTGGCGAGAGGAGGCCAGCTTCAAACCATGGAGTCTGGGACCACACTCTGGAGCAGTGGTGGGAAACTTCTGAAGGACCAGACAGTGCATTTATTAGCTTTGCAGGCTCCTCACAGATGCAGTAAGAATGAGTTAGACTTAATGAATTTCATCCTTCCTAGATAAATGACCTATTATAGTGCATAATGCATACAAACTGAGAGTCTACAGTCTCAGACTTCACTGCTTAAACAATTTTTAAAAATTTTCACCTCAAGCCCTGATACTTCACATACATAAAAAATCACTAGAAAACAAAGTGCTTTGAATTAGAAGAAACTTTTCTTAGATTAGATTGTGATCTTTTAAAAAAGCTACTTCAGTTTCATTCACAATAGCTAAAACAGAACTTAACAGAAGGACAGGGTGCTGTCTCCAAGGTGGTGAAAAATGGGTTCTGGAGTGGGGCTGAGAACCTCACTCTGTTTAGCTATAAAGCACAGATATACGTTAACAAATAGGCAGTGAATCCGTGGTATTAACATTCATAGGCTGGGGGAATAGGAAACAATATCTGAATTAGTTCCTGGGGAGGGGTTCAATGAAAAAAGGTTGCAAGATAGGTTTACATAAACACCCCATCTAAAACAATATAGACTGAACTCCCACTGTCAGTCTCTATACGCTCTTCCTGCTTTACCTTTCTTCTCTGTACTAACCACTACCTAACATGACATATTCACTGCTGTGTCTTCTGGGTCCCCTCTATAGAATGTAGGCCCAGGAGAGCAGGGCCTTTGTTCACCGCTGTGTCCTCAGCTCTCAGAACAGGACAGGTCCGGGATTGGCAAGGCTGGTTGTGTAAAAGAAGGCTGTCGGATTAGATGTTCTCAAAGATTCCTTCTGCTATAAATTTCCAATGATTCTAAGATGCCCTTAAAAGCATGGTTAGTCACAAAGGAACATTTTTTATCCATCCCAGGAGGCCATTCCTTGCATACCAAAAGCATCTCATGAGAAGGGGGCCCATGTATACGCCCCCAGGGCCAGGACCAGCTGTGTTTTAGGAAGCCTTCTGTATATTTATCAAAGCAGCCCCCTGGTCAGAAACTTCAGTGTAACAGAGCCTCATGTTGTATTGGGTGTTAATGAAAAGATTCCAGGATTTCTGAAATTATCAGCAAGATATGATATGGGCCTTTCTTACTCACACTTGGCTTCTCATGGTCACGATGGAGGTAGGAAACTGTTTGGGAGTCTTTCTTGGAGAAGGAAAGTCCTGAGCTGCCTGTATGCAGCATTTTCAGACCCGGGAGGAACCTCAGAAATCATCCATTCCAGCAGCAAGTGTAGCTCTAGATCTCAAAGTCCAAGTTTGAATTCTGGTTACTTTCTAGTGAGTGACAATGGGCAAGCTATTAACCACTCTGTGGCAAAACTTCCTCATCTGTAAAAGCAGAATAATAATAGGTGTACCTCCCTAGGTAAATTAATTCATGCAAAGCACTAAGAAGAAGAAGAATGCCTAGCACAGTGTAGACATTCAACAAATATTAACCATTATCAGTACAAGTACCCTTTTGGTTTTTATTTTTTTTTAACTTGAAAAATCCTTTAATCTAAGAAAACCCAAAAACCCTATATATATATAGAACATGAAAACTACTACAGTTCTATAGAAATCCTAGAGCCCAAAGGGCACTCTTAATCACTGGCTTTTTAATACACATATTTTACACATAAGCCCAATACTACACATATTCTACTCCCCATGAAATGGAGATTCAAGGTTGAAGTGACCAGTCAAGGTCACACTAGAACCCCAGTGTCAACTACTGACTCTTGTACCCTATGTCACCAGGTGCCTCCTCGTTATCAAAGATGTGTGTGTTGAAAGGACTTTACCGCTATCACAGGAATGAGGGGTCATGGGTGACAAGCAGAAACTGGAATGCACAAAGCAATGCGCTTGACCTTCACAGAGAATCATGCAAATCACCAAGGCCCTCAGTGCAAAGCAGAAAATCCCTCCACAGCATCCCTAGTAGAGGTTTATGTAGCCTCTGACTGAATTATTTCCAGAGAACCCACTGCTTTTCCTGATAGCCTTTGCTGCTGACTAGCTGCAGAAGCTAGAATGAGAAGTAGCATGTGACTATCCTTCATTTTTCAGGAATTTCACCTTTCCTAGGGCAGTATGGTGAAGGCCTTGAAGTCAAGCATGCCTGGCTGTATAATCTTGATGAGATTATTTACCCACCTTAAGCCTCAGGGTCTTGACCTATAAAATGCAGATAATAACCAAACTTCCTTTGCAAGCTCTCTGAGAGGGTCAAAAGAGACAATGCATTAAATTGTTTTTAACAGTCTCTAGCACATAGCTTGAGCTCAGTAAGTTGTAAATCCTACTAATTAGTATTATAACCACCCACTCTTTCCTCATTAAATTACTAGACCATACATTAGCTATTCAACAAAAAGGCAAAATTCTCTAATGCAGACTTGTTGGTCCAGGGCAAGAATTTGCTAGCTGTCCTCCAAATCAGGCCCTCCCTTCCTCCATAGTAATAGAAATAGCTGGTGGCTACATGCGTCTGCACCTCTGCAGCTACATGTGGCCATGCAATTGAGTTCTCACCAATGGAATAGGAGTGGAAGTGACTGGTTACCCTTGAAGGCCTGGGCCATAACATACTGTATGTGTACTCTTTTCCTTTCCCCCAAGAGGAATACAAAGGTTCATCTTCAGGAAAGGATCCCGAGTTTTTACTATATAGAAGAGGAGTGGACTGTGGGGGAGCAGAGAAATCAGGTGGAAGGAACCTGAAGCCCTGAATGGCTGCCTGGAGCCAAGTAGCCTATCCACCCTGAATCCTTATATGAAAGAAATAAACTTCTTGGACTTTTAATCTACGCAATGTTGGGTCTATTTATTATACTAGCCAAGTCTTTTATCTAGAGTGACCACTTCTTGAGAGCAATGAGTTAGCTGAAAATTTACAATACCTTTGAACAAGCTTATGGTAAGATCGCAGCCACAATCTGAGAGGCAACTCAAAGGATGGGCATTAGAAGAGTATTAGCACAAGTATTCTTTACATGCCCTTTAAATCATGTCGACACATGTGAAAATTAGCCTTTATACTATACTATTTTCAACTCATCTACAGTAACATAAAGTTCTTCTGTCCTTGAGTGTGTAGTGTCTAATGAAAGGAACAGCATCAATCCCTCTTAAATCCTTTAAATTCCTTCAAGGTTTCAAAAGTCTTTATTTCAGGCAAAATGTGAACTTGAAAAAGAACAACTAAATCTATTTTTAGGAGCAATTTAATCTAGTCCTTGGAGTTAAAGGCTTTATGGTAGAGGATACATGTCTGTATACAGTTTAGTGGCTATTGGTTAAGTCCCTATATCATAAACATAGTGCTACTGCAGAATGGAACACAGAGATGAAGCACAGAGTCATAAATCATGCCTTTTGGAGGCTCACAATCTAATGAGGAAAAACAGAAATCCTATCCTATATAAATAAAAGGATAATATGCAAACTCACCCTAAAGGCAGAACAATCAGAAGGACTACTAGACTAGTCACTATGAAGTGCACTGACCATCTCTCGGTCCCTTTCCCTGGCCGGCAGGCTCCCATCGCCCAATGGCGAACAGGGAACCAGGATGGGTGGCAGCGGGGGGCAGGGCAGGCTGCGGGCAGCCAGGGAAGATGGCCCTGATCACAGGCCAGGCCTAGGGACCGTACCCGTGCTCGGATTTCGTGCGCTGGGCTTCTAGTACTGGAATAACAATAATGGAATATTGTTCTAGTACCTCTGATAATAGAGAATAATAAAAGCATTTTTCAAATGTTTAACATGTACCAGACACTACACTGAGATTTGCCTCTTACTTAACCTTTGTAACAGTATAATAGGGTAGATACCATATTCCCTATTTCCCAAATAAAAAAATTATACATTAGTAAGTTGCCCAAAGTCACAGAAAAGCCCAATGAGAACTTGGGATGTCCAACACCAGTGAATGTTCCCTCAGCCACCAAAAAGAGTGATGTACAGTGGGAGAATGGGGGTCCCAACTGGCAAGTCAGCTCTTTTTCATCCTGTGACATTGGCTCAGAGCTGGGGGAAAGCAAAGGGGTATAAGATCCACGTGGCACAGCAGCCCAGGGCTTTTCTGAAGCTCTGAGCTGGGAACAAGCATCACAGGAAGGGTCCCAGATGTCTCAGCCATGCCAAACAGCTCAGGGACTTAGAAAACAAGCACAGAGCACTGGGCAACCCCACTTCAAGCCTCTGGGTTCTTCAGTAACCTCAGAATGGAAACCAGGTCATCTCTAACCAGAGAAGCAGATTCCCTGTCCTTTGTGGCTAAGCAGCAATTATTCCCTGCTTTTTCTAAGCCTCAATTCCCCTGCTCATTCATTCCTCACTGGGGAGTCCCAGTGTATGCCTCCCAAGTTCTCTGGGAGGTTGGGGGTTCAGCAACCTCGTGTTTATACAGTACTGTGATCACTTCAGGGAGAGATTTGCATCTCCTTATTAAATTTCAAATCCTTTTGGACTTTTTCTATTTCTGATAAAAGGTATCTGTGATAATGGGTTACTGTTTGCTCACATCTCTCTCCCTTTCCCTTAGGGAGGAATCAACTTCCTGGCCCTATCAACTCTGCATGTGGCCTCCAGACTTGATTTAGCCAAAGGGATGTTATGGACATGACATGAATAGAGGCCTTAAATGGGCTTCTACTTATGCTTTGGTGGTCCACTCTGAGAAGCGCATGCCCTGAGTAGCTGCTGCCCCTTCAGCCTGGTCCTCAGAGGGAACACATGTCAGCTGATGTGTGCCCAATCCATAGCAGATCAGCTGGGCAGCAGCCTGAAGCAGAGCCGCCCAGCTGAATCCAGCCTCCCTCAGCCACATGCAGTGTCCCTGCACACAGGGAGCATGAGAATGAGCGCTTATTGCTGAAAGCCCCTGAGTTCTGGAGCAGTTTGTTATGCTGCTTTCGTGTGGCAGTAGCTGACTAATGTATCATCATTGTATTAATTAGAAATTTAACAGATACAAATACGTACATGTATTTCTGAGTATCTCACAGAAATACATGGATGTATTTTTTCCTTGAATTTCATTAACTGCACAGCATCCTGCTATCCAAAACATACCATTTCTCAATTAGTTTAACAAAGATACTGGCAGGTTAGAATACAGAGAAGAGGTTCATATGCCTTCAATCAAAACAAAAGTTCACCTTGCCAGTGAAATGTTTACACTAACCTCTCCCCATAAGATGCAGATGTAGAAGACAAAGCAGTATCTATTTTTCATGGATGAGCTACATGGATGAGAAAACATTACTTTTCAAAATAATAAAAGGTATTGATGGTGAAATACTGTGTTCAGGCTCATGGTCTATATAATCTCCCTCAGAAAATTTTCTCCCTTCTGTCAATATGTTTTAAGTTACTGGTTTCAAGAGCATTCTCTCCTCCCCTTCTGCCAACACTTATATCCACTAAAATCCAGGTAAGATTTCACAAAACTCCTGAAGAAAAATGTTAAGAAACCTGTAGGTTCCCAGAGTTTGCAAACTGCACCCAATATTATTTTTAATGCATTACTTTAATGCTTTATTTTTAATGCATTATTTTAATGCATCATGATTATTTTTTTTTATATTTTATTGATTTTTACAGAGAGGAAGGGAGAGGGATAAAGAGTTAGAAACATCGATGAGAGAGAAACACTGATCAGCTGCCTCCTGCACACCCCACACTGGGGATGTGCCCGCAACCAAGGTACATGCCCTTGACTGGAATCGAACCTGGGGCCTTGCCCCAGGCCGACGCTCTATCCACTGAGCCAAACCAGTCAGGGCACATCATGATTATTAATAATCCTCATTTTCACTCCCACTCCAGAATAAAATAGCAAAACAATAAATGAATTATGTTAGTCAAATGTATTACGTTAGTCAAAAATTTGTATTTCAAGATAGATTTCAAAATATAAACGGGGCTTTTAGAATTGAAGAAAAAGCAAACTAAATTCGAAGTGCTCCAGAGGCCATCAGGATTTCCAGGTCTCCAGAGGGCTTTGAAGGTGGCACTGGGGTCCTTGAGCTATTTGAATGTTACAAAAAGCATAGTGGAAACTGTAGCCATCATAACCACTGAGGGGGCTGGACTTACTGCAACTCCTCTGTGACTCCGGCTGACACACACATGCGCAGGCCCCTGACCACTGCTCCCAGCCCTTCCCCCACCACTCTCCTCACTCCCTCTGTCCCAGTATACCTTCCTCCCTGCTACTCCTCAAGCATACTTGACACTCCTACTCAGGACCTTCATCCTTGCTAGTCCCTCTGCCTGGAACAAGCACCCAAAGGGCTCATTCATTCCCCTACTTCATTGAGGTCCCTTCCAGGTGCCTCCCTCTCAAAGAGGCCATC